CAAAGAAAACTCTTATTAGGCACATGCCTAATACTTCTTCAATGAGATGGACATCATCAGAAATAACTGAAAAAATATTAACTTTTCTCATTATCTACCTTTTTTTCTAAAAAATATTTTCAAATCAGTGTTTGGTTATATAGATAACTGAATTTTTGAAGATGAAAAATTTGAGGATGAGTTTCCAATTCGAGAAAGTGATTTTTTTTTGAAGTAAACGATATTTTTCTCTCACAAAATTGAAATATTATTTTAAAGTAGAATGCCTATAGAATACAATTTTAATTTTTATATATATATTTTTTTAACTTAACTTCAAAAGTTTCTTTTTTCTTTTTCCTTCAAATTTCTCAGTGTTTTATGTCCAAATGCCTACTAATAGGACTCGAGAGGAACTCCTTTTGCAACTAATTATAAATGATAAAAGAAAGAGGAATTTTCAGAAACCACTATTGTTTAGTGTCTATTAACTTTCTATAGCTACCATATACATAATTACTTCCTATAGCTACTATTCAGTAGTTACGATAATGTATTTATTGTATTCGCGTTGTTGTATTCATGAATACAACAACAAAAAATACCTAAAAATCAGGGTAGTCCAGCTGTACGCAGATATATTCACATGTATTCGCGCCATCTATTCATGAATACAATAGCAAAAAGTGCCTAAAATTAGGACAATCCAGCTGTACACGCATATATTCACATGTATTCATGCTGCTGTATTCATGAATACAACAGTAAAAAACACAAAAAATCAGGCAAGTCCAGCTGTATGCACATGTATTCACATGTATTTGCGTCATGTATTCATGAATACAGCAGCAAAAAGCGCCTAAAATCAGGACAGTCCAGCTGTACGTGCATATATTCACATGTATTTGCATTGTTGTATTCATGAATACAACAGTAAAAAACGCCTAAAATTAGGACAGTCCAGTTGTATGTGCATATATTCACGCCATTTATTCATGAATACAATAATATCAATCACCTTAAAAATATGTATGTCCAGCTGTCTAAGAGAGAGGAAAAACATAAATAGCGTATTTAATGCCCTATTTCATGCTTCAATTGTAGTATATACCATAATACTTATTTTGGTATAAAATATAAAAAGTAAATATAGAAAATAATATTTTAAAATAATTTTAGTTTATAATAAATAAGACGTATACCTTTGCTTTAGGAGCTATAGGAGGTAAAATTTTCTTAAAAAAACCTATGTTGCTCTAGTCTTATGTCGGATACTCCAAAAGTTATTTATGTCTCGAAGGATCTCATACGGATGCAACAATATTTTTAAACAATTCTAACAACATAAAGAAAAATTAGAAAGAAAAAAGAGCTGAATACCTAAGTTACCAAACTAGTACACCTGCATCATTACTCAATTATTCTAGTCAAACTAATGATAGGTAGTTTAGAGTGTTCACTCATAGTGCAGAGCATGACCTAATTGGTCCATGTATGATAGAACCCTTTAAAAGACCTGTTAGTTGGAGGTTGGTACTTCACAAAATAAAATAAAAATACTATTTTTAATCATGATTTGAATTAGGATTTGCCCTTTAAAGGACTCTTAATCCGTTCTCTTTTATAACAACAACGATTCAGTAAAATCTAACAAGTGGAGTCTGGAAATGATAGTGTGTACGAGATCTTACTCCTACCTCGATGGGGAAGAGAGGCTATTTTCGATAGACCCTCGGCTGAAGAAGACGGAAAAAACGAGAAGAGATCATATATCTAGAGGCAGATCCATGATTTAAAATCTATGGGTTCAACTTTTCAAATTTTTAACATTGAACCCATTATATTTTTAAAGTTATGGGTTCAAATCTATTATTTTTTGCAATTTAATGAGTTTTTACACATAAATTTCTACTCTGCGTCGAAAGTTATGGGTTCAATTGAACCCATAACTAACACACTACATTCGCCTATGCATATATCAGTACCATCAACAGAAAACATAGAAATAGTAACAACATCATAAAAAGCAAAAAATTGATGACATGTAATAACAATAACTAGTAATTTTACTAAGGCCCGTAGCAATGAAAAATAGAAGGATAGTGTGAACACAACATTAATCACTCGCCGTTCTCTTTTACACCAACCATTAATTAGTAAGACTTAATTATTCTATTTTCGATGAATAAATTGTCAACTCTTCATACATATAGATAGACAAAAGAAAGGTATTCAAGAAATGAATAAGTAATACTAGATTATTTTTTTTGATAATATTGAGAGGTAAGTAACTACATGTTTGTTCAAACCTGCAACAACTATCTATTCAGTTTATAGTGTAGCTCAACAGGAGAGAAAATGGATAGTAAGATTAGCAGTTTGAAACATCTGTTTGTGACAGTATTTCTCTCAAATTTTGCGTTAAATGTGGTGAATCCAGCAATGACTGATATCACTATGGATGCACTTTGCCCTTCTCAAGACAAATGCTCTCTTGCCATTTATCTTTCTGGTTTACAGCAGGCTGTAAGTAGCAACTCCATCTGAAAGAATCGGCTCACATCAATTATTCTATTTTTTATAGAAAAAAATACGGATTTGCCCGTTTCGAATAATTTGATTATTCTAAATTCTTGATGATCAATTCATTTAGATTATGGGGCTTGGATCAATGTTGATGATGCCACTGATTGGAAACTTATCTGATGTATATGGAAGAAAAGCTCTGCTCATTGTCCCTGTCACTGCCTCCATTCTTCCATCTGGTAAAATTTGTCTTTTTCGCATGCAACTGAGTATATTTTCGATAAAATTCTTTCTAAAAATATCAGCAAAACTGTTCTTCCATGTCAATTGTCGTAGAATTATCACTAATTTCTTATTTTTTTTTAAAGTAATAATGGCATATAGGAGGACTACAAACTATTTCTATGCCTACTATGTCGTAAGGACCCTGACTGGCATGCTCAGCGATACTGGCATTCAGTGCCTACCCATTGCTTATGCGGTATTATTTCATTTGAATTTTAGCCTAATCCATTGTTATTTCTTTCTAAGGTTTTTATTGATGGTATTTATATATTGTCTCTTTTCGTTTTCTGAGCCGAGGGTCTATCGGAAACAGTCTCTCTACCCTCGGGTAGGGGTAAAGGTCTGCGTACATACTGCCCTCCCCAGACTCCACTAATAGAATTTCACTGGGTTGTTGTTGCTTTTGTTGACTTTATATTAACTCGATATTTATCGACTCTAAATTTTGAATTCGTATTTGTTAAATTAGGCAGATTGCATATCAGAAGAGAAGCGTGCTTCTGCTATTGGAATTGTGGCAGGTGTAGGCTCTGCTGCATATTTATGTGGTACCTTTGCTGCTCGTTTCCTCTCCACAGCTCAAATATTTCTGGTTAATTTACATCTCTCTTTATCATCTTCTTAATTATTTCTATTTTGTGACTAATTAACTGTACATTGCTCTTAGTTTCAGTTATAATTTGTTAAATAATTGTTGGATTAATGAAGGTGTCATCTATTTCTTCAACGGCCGCGGCAGTATACATGACAATATTTCTAAAGGAGACAACTCGTATTAATAAGAACGACGATGCTCTCAATCAACCCATATTAACCAATAATGCTGATGAGTCTGGAGGCGATGATTCCTCGGAGAAAACGCTGAGTCCAAAAAGTATTCCGTCGTTTTACCATATTATTAGGTTGCTCAAGAGTAGGTAAGATGATGACATTACCTACAACTTTCTAGTCTACCTTCTAACATTTGGTAGGTAAAATAATACAACGTGATACATATGTAGTGCCAATAAAAACTATAAAAGAAAATTAGACTATCATTAATGCGTTGTTGGTATCTTAGGCCTGTTTAAGTACTTATTTTGTAGTTGAAAAAGTCATAAAATTTTTTTATTGGTTGTTGGTATCTTAGGCCTGTTTAAGTACTTATTTTGTAGTTGAAAAAGTCATAAAATTTTTTTATTGGTTGTTGGTATCTTATGCCTGTTTAAGTACTTATTTTGTAGTTGAAAAAGTCATAAATATTTTTTATTATTCAATTAACACTTTTAAGCTATTACTTCGGTTATCTCTATTTTATCTCCTAACCAGGGGCGGATTTAGAGGGTCAGAGGGGTTCACCCCTTTTTCCGAAAAATTACATTGTGTATATAAGGCAAAATTTATTTTTTTACCTCTATATATTATTTTTTGAATCTCTTTCATATTACCCAAAAGCGTAGCTCAGTGATAAAGGGGTTCAAAACCTTTGTGTTGTAATTGGTTAAATTCTCACAACCCACAATTTCTTTTAATTTTTTTTTTAAACCCCTTTAGTGAAAATTCTGCCTCAGCCACCGCTTCTAACCTTAGACATATCAGAATCAAAAAGTGTGAAAGTGACTATTGATATATAAAAGCATGCATGAAGATAATTTTTTTTTTTTATCATTGATGGTTCCTACCTTTTGAAAAACAACTTTACACCTCTCTATTCTTCATTACTCGAACTTCTTTCACCCAAAAAGGGAGGAAAAAAAAATCCTTTCACAAATCACAATTATGGGGTCCCAACCCCATACCAAGTTGGATGTCTTCAGCAATAAAATTTAAGTAACAATTAAAACAAACATCGTATTTAAAGTAACGATACGATACTGGATTATGCATGCCCTGCTTCCTGCTTTTTCAGAAAATTCTATCTCTAACTGCATTTCAATTCCAAGTTAGCTTAGGTCGATAGGGTTGATTAGGGCAGCCCCATGCACTAAATTCCCGTTATGCGCGGGGTTTGGGGAATGGTCGGACCACAAGAATTTATTGTACGCATCTTATCCCACATTTCTACAAGAGGCTGTTTTTACGGCTTGAACCCGTGATCTTCTGGTCATGTAGCAATAACTTTACCAGTTACGCCAATACGCCCCTTCAAATAAGGTTGATTAGGTTAAACAAAATAAAATCGAAGTGTATGCATTATAAGTTTAAGAAAGAAATGAAATAAGCAACACATTTTGATTGTGCATTTTGCTCAGATTTATTAACTTTTCTCATTGTTCTTTTATCCTGTTTTGGCAGCACCACATTTTCATTGGCGACAAGTATTGCTTTCTTATATGGTATTGGTGAGGGTGGAATACGAACTCCATTTATGGTACTCATTTTATAGCTCTCTTAAGTGTCAATTCCATAGAGAATTAGTAAACCTCACAAAAAAAAAAAAAAAAAAAAAAAAAAAAAAAAAAAAAAAAAAAAAAAAAAAAAAAAAAAAAAACAGCCCGGACCACAAGGATCTATCATACGCAGCCTTATCCTGCATTTCTGCAAGATGCTATTTCCACGGCTCGAATCTGTGACATCCTGGTCACATGACGACAACTTTACCAGTTACGCCAAGGCTCCCCTTCAAAACTCACAACTAACATTTTTTTGATTATTTTGTAGTACTTTTTAAGGGCTCGATTTCAATACAACAAAGACAATTTTGCTATTCTAATGTTGATTTGCTACGGTGGAGCAACATTTTCTCAGGTATAAGTTCAAATTGATTTCGTCCAGTAGATCAAGTTAATTTCACGTAATTTTTGTGCTTACAATAATTTTGTAATTAATTCCTCTTCAATTTTTTCGAGCAGTTGATCTTAGTGCCTAAGTTGGCTCCTATAATACGAGAAGAGACGATACTTTCCTCGGCGCTCATAGCTGGTTTTACCAATGTATGTGCCTTCTACGATTTCGTGGAATTTCTCTCTATTTTATTTCTCCTTTTTTGGTTCTTATTGCTATATTTTGAAAGAGTATTAAGTTACGTGGACGGTATAAAAAATATTTACACAAAGAGATCACTTAAAAGGTAATAAAAACAATAATTTTATATAACCAATATTGGTTTGTAACCTTGAAAAAGGGGTAAGTAACTTATTATAACATATTAAATCATTAAAATATTTAGATTTTCACACTACGAGCGTACATAACTTAAATTTTCTGGTTATTCTGCAGATGCTAATAGATAGTATTGCATGGGCAGCCTGGGTAAGATAAAGCTTTGAAATTTACTATTGAGGTCTCAGCATATATATTTCCTAATTCAAGATCTTTATTTTTTACATTTGTCACAATTTTTCATGATTTCAGGTTCCTTATATAGTTGCTTTGTTTCCTATGTTTCTCTTCCTAGCAAAACCAGCTGTAAGTTGTTTCTTATTTTCTCCGAAAAATAATGGAGTACTTTTCAATTTTTTATTATTATTATTTTTTTGATTGATTATCATGGTTGTAATATTAACCTAAATGTTTTATTCAATCTAGTTACAAAGCATTGTTTCAAAACAAGTTGGGCCAAACGAACAGGTAATTTAGCATAAGTACCTTTCATTAGCTATATACATCACTGTGGTATACAATTGACCTTGATTTACACTTTTGTACAAGCTAAGATTACAATATTATGATCTAATTAAACTATGAAAAGTATCTTTATATACTATATAAGTGAGACTTGTAACCTAGAAAATAAGGCAGGTAACCTAATACAACATGTTAAAATATACCGATAGTATAAAGTTCTTTTCAAACTATTAGAGAAAACAAGTCAGAATCCTAAACATTTTTTTTTTTTTTTTTTTTGAAAAAATCCTCCCAAATTAGGAGGTTCTACAGTGTTTTCACACTTTCCCTCTAGAGTGACTCGAACCCACGTAGGTGCTTTTACATTTATTTTTGAATTTGATTGTTATATAAATGAATGTTCCATTAATTGTTATTTTGTCGACCTAGTAGGGAATTGCTCAAGGGTGCATTTCAGGCGTAAACTCCTTCGCCAATATTCTCTCTCCATTTATATTTAGTCCTTTGACAGGTAACTAATTAATTTGTTATTCACTTTATGTGTTTAATTTGACCTAAATTTTCAAACTAACAACGTTCATCTCTTTATAGATCTTTTCTTATCTGAGAGAGCTCCATTTAATTATCCTGGTTTTAGTATGTTTTGCATCGGCCTTGCTTGGGTAAGCACTATAAGTATTAGATTAATATACGCTAACCTTTTAATTTCTTGTTCATTCTTTTTTTTTCTTAGTTGTTATGATAGTGTAATTTTTTTTTAATATTATCATCTCGTAAAAGTTAAATACAGTTACCTTAATAATGATTTCCTCCAATGTTTTGTGCAGTTGATAGCATTTATTCCTAGCATGATGATAAGGTTTGGTTCCTACAATTCAAGACTCAAAATCAGGGACGTCGTCTGCTAGGAGGCTTGAAGGAGTATTCAACAAAGGCTATATTTGTAAATCTTTCCTATGTACACAATCTTCAAATGGTTAAAAATGGATTTGTTTTATTTAATTTTTTTTTATCTTTCCTGATGGTAAGCAACCCCCACTTCCAACCGAGAGGTTGTGAGTTCGAGTCTCCCCAAGAGCAAGGTGGGAAGTTCTTGGAGGGAAGGATGCCGAGGGTCTATTTGGAAACAGTCTCTCTACCCTAGGGTAGGGGTAAAGTCTGCGTACACACTACCCTCCCCAGACCCCACTAAGTGGGATTATACTGGGTTGTTGTTGTTGTTAGATGTATTTGGTAGGAAGATTTTAGTTTCTCATCCAATTTTTTTGTAGTATCAAAATATTATTACTTGATAAACTTGTGACACTTTAATATTCTTTGCTACTTATATTTGAAATTGCACGTAGAAGGAAGATACACGATATAATTAAATGCTTTTGATCCTTTTTATATACATTTATTTTTGTCAAAGATACTCAAGATGACATAGCCATAAAAGTGGCATTAAGATAAAGAAGTATTCAGATGCTGTCTTGCCATTTTTAAAGCTCTTTTTTTACCATTATCTATAGCAATCCAATTATTAGTTTATACATTTTTTACATTATTCTAATGAAGTTTTTTTTCCAGTCAATTACACACATTTTAACTAATCCATCGACAAGCACGGATACTGATTTATTATATTTTGACAATAGAGAGAAAATTGTTGGCAAAAGTCAAAATAGGAATCTCATTATTAAGCAATCATCCCACTATGCTATAATAATTAATTAATACCCGTTTATGATCTCAAAATTAATGTTTACACCTTTGATAGGTCAAAAATTCTAAACTATCACATATATGGAAAAGTTGAGTAACTAATTAATTCCCTTCTAAAATCATCATATTTCAAATATTCATTGACTAAGAAGAAGGGTTTAATTAGCGCATTACAAAGAACAATATGCACATTTCACATTTAAATACTAAAATATAATAATGCAATCACAATATTTCGTTCTTTTTTAAAATAAAGGCGGCGTTCTTTCTTTTTTAAATTCGATGTTCGATCAAACATCACCATATATATAAACATATGATACTATCACCCAATAACGAATTGACACATAACAATAATATAATAACCTTTTATATTTTTTATTCACAAGCATCTGGTGAAAATGTCAACCACCATGCATCAATATCAAAAGTCAACCCAAAAGTCTGTAATACATTGGCACCAATTACAGAAAAATTATGACTCGAACTACGAAAACCCATGCAGTATTTTTTCCGATACAATATCATCACTTGTTGTTGTCTCGCTTCAAGAGGTATTATATTGAATTTAAAATAAAACCTAACAACTGGAAAATTGGCCCAATTAATATTATTATCTGCCAAATAACAAGTATCAAATGGTTCTGGTGGATTTTCATCCAATATCATACCTTTAACTTCAGACCTAAATATATACCTAAATTCGACATAAATATCAGCAGGAAATTGTGAAATAGAGGTTCCTGTATCTACAAACATACCACCATTTTTATCTGCACCCAAATTCCAATGTGCAGGATCAATAGGAACTTCTCTATCGTTAATGGTAATTTTCTCCAAGTCTCGTAAATAGTAAAATGAAGGATTAATATTGTTCCTCATCAGTGTTGTCCTTATACCTGTTGTCAAGTTAATTTCACGTATGGTCAGTAAATCTTATTTTTGAAAAAAAAATAAATTATCTTACTATATCAGTAAAGTTACAATAAAATTTTACCTACTACGTTGAGAATAACAACAATTTACTATAAAAACTAAGCTTTTCATGAAATCAGTTTTAATATATATTCTATATAATGGTACTTAGTTATAACAGCCAAAAAATTCAGAACAAATAAGGCTATTATAGAGAGTTTTGACTGTATAAGACAAAATTTACTCAAAATTAAGGTGAATCTACTGCTATAATGGATAAACTTTAGTGATTTTATCAACTTGCTTTAATATCACAAAATTCTATATTTGAATTAAAAAATCACTTAATATATATTATATACTTCTTCCGTTTACTTTTACTTATCACGTTTTTACTTTTTACGCACTTTAAGAAATAATAAATAAAGTACATAATTTACCATGATACCTCTATTAATTAGTGTATGGTCTAAATGGATTTAAAAAATGATTTAGAATGAGTAATTAATGCTAAGGGCAAAACAGAAAAAATAAAATATTTTTCTCTTGATATGCGAAAGTGGATAAGTAAAAATAAAAAAATATTTTTAGAATAGTGGATAAGTAAAAGTGAACGAGAGAGTATAAATAATATCCAAAACCTAGTAAGTTGTCTTTATTAGAATCAAGAACCAAATAAACTCAAAATTCTAACTCGGCCTATGATTGCTTTAATAGCAACAAAAAAAATATACGTTAAGTTCAATACGTGAAATTAATAACTCACCAGTTTTCCATGGGGTGTTGTGAAAGTTGAGTGTAGATGGCTTTCCTGAAGTAGAACTAGGAATGCATAAAGAGAATAATGTAGCAGCAAGTTGTGATTGTAATGAATATTTCTCAAATCCATTAGTATATAGACCAGCACCAAGACCAGCAATTCCACTTATTAATCTTGGGAATTTCTTAATCCCACTCATTTGATCTTTCCCACAACCAAATATTATTTTTGCTGAATCTTGGATTGAAGTAAATGTTATCATTTCATATGCCATAAATCCAGTCGAGATTGAACCATCACCATATGTTGTTTCATAATTACATTTTTGTTCTAGTCTAGAGCAAGAAATTCTCTGCCCTTGAAAACAACTTGATGTGTCAGTGACACAATTAATTTGTTGGAATGTTTTTGAGAGTGTTGAATCATATAATAAATTTCTCCTTTGTTCATAACATTTATTTGGTTCACATGGACCACATTGCCACCAAACATGACGACTTCCAGTGTCTATAAGCAAAAGTTCACGTTGTAATTCACTGCCAACCCAAAAGGGACTCACAATTAAACCACGAACTGAATATGTTGCTGTAGAATTTTCAGACGAGTATTCAGATTCAGACATGGAAAATAACATTTCTTGAGCAAAACGAGCATCGAGTAATGAATCATAATCCTTGAACTCTGATTTTTCGAATACATCGCGATGGTAAAGAGGAAAACTGAAAGAGGATGTTGAATGATAAGAAAGGTTGGAGATATCAAGAGCCATGAAATTTTTTCTGGCTTGCAAAATGGATGTGTAATTAAGGGAAAGATGAATGTTTTCACTTGTTGAAACAGAAATATTGGAGAATAGGAAAAGTAAGAGTGTCATGGCTAGAACATGGAGGAAATTTCCCATGTCTGAAACCTAATTACTCGCACATTATGTGCTTAATCCTAGCATTTATATAGGGTATATAATCTAATTAAATTCTTTCTGATCCGCTTATATCTCTCTAATCAAATCTTCTAAACAGGGAAAACATTAATAAATTACACAACGACAAAATTTATAGTTGATTAGCTTGATTCTTTTCCTTTTTTATTCTTTTGAAATCTTATGAAAGGAGCAAGTTAGGGAAAATATTGATGAAGATATAAATGGTTAAAATTTATCTCGATTGATGAATGGACTAAGGATGGCAACAAAGCTCCTCTATTTCACGATCTGTAGGAATACTTGTAGGATTATACCTAAGATAAGTAGGTTACGAGTGGGACTTTTTTTTAGATAACCGTGACTGTCCGAGTCAGTTTGTGCACATTTCGACTGTAACAATTTTGCCCACCAAAACAAACAAATAGGAAAAAATCACCAAATATTTTTTGCCTCCCCTAAGAGGTCATAATCCTAAATTTGGTGCTATTGAGTCAATTTCACCTATCCGAAAACAAAAGTTAAAAATCAAGAAGTTAAAAACAGGGATCTCCAATGAAACTATACAGGTGCTGTTGAAAGGAATAGGCTGCATTAAAACTTGTTTGCAAGTACTCTACCGTGCCAGACAAAGAGAAGCAGAACAAAAGCACAATCCACAGGAGACAATCCAAGGAGAATAGACATCAGGAGATTTCGGCTCAATTAAAAAGAAATCTTGCAAAGAAATAACAAATTCATGTTAAAAGATTTTGATTTATTCAGTATCTTATGTACACTTGTTGAAAATAGAGGTTGCAACCAAATAACTCAGTCAAAAACAGTTTTCAGCACTCGTAGTAGCTTCACCATCATCGGAAGAATTATCACTGTTTGCATCAAATGTCAAAATGAGTTGCAGAAGCTCTCTACCAACCTCTGAATTGTCTTCATTGCTCTCCGGGTTTGTTCTTTGCCTTTCCAGTGAAAATAGTTGCAACATTAGGTCCTCTGGAGAAGCCATGCGATGCATCCAGCCCCTTGCTTTAGGTCTCCGCTGGAAACAGAAAGTGCACAATTATCAGCACATGTAAGCGGCATTAGCATCTCCACGAGAACTAACATAATCCCTGCATTGTTGCAACATCATCATTCATCAGTGTCATTGTCATTCAAGTCATCATTGTCATAGTGTGAACTGCTAGGAGCATCTTGGTCATCATCAGAGGAATTGTCAAAATCAGAGTCCCCTACAGTGTCAAAAAACTCATCAGGATTTCCATACTCGTGGATATCTAAATCCTCAAACCCATCATCATCATCAGTGTCATCATTGTTGCCGTCACCATTGTCATCATCCATATCATCGAAGAAATCATCTTCATATTCTTCCATATTACTATCATCGTCATCCTCATTGTCACTACTACCACCATAATCACTGTCACTCCCGTCATCAAAGAAGTAGATCCCATTATCTTCATCACCGCCATAACCGAACAAATGAAATCGGCGAGGTACTGAACCCTTAATTTGATAGAAATATTAGAAGTAAAATTAGAGCTGCTTGGGCTTCCATAAAGATCAAATAGCAAGGATTTGGGATCTAACATCGTCTGTCTTTTAGGATAACTCATATATAACATCCCTACTACATGCACTTAACACACTCAAGAAAGGAGTCAGCTAAAATATGACTTCGTCAGTTCTAGCTTAAACAAGATATACCCTTTTTGGGATAATTGACTCTACCATTACCAAAATTAGTTATTCTAACATGATTACATTGACAGTAATTCTTTTATGAGAAACGACACAATACAAGAGTGATGGCATAAAGATAATGATTGAATAATGCACATACATGGATTAGGACTATACCGCAGAAATACAAGAAAAAAGTAGCTAATTGAATAAATAAATTGCGTCCCCGCACCACTGAACTCCCGCAACCCCAGAAAGATACTCGAATCTTTTCAAACTTTCCGCTTCCTAGATTCACCTGATCCTGCTTCATTTTTCAAGTAACATTCCTTAGTTTCTTTTTTTTT